CCTTAAATTTTTAAAGTAAAAGATTAAATTAGATAAAGCACCAAGTATAAAGCTAGTATTAAAATAAATGTAAGTACCTGTTAATATTACTGTGCTTATTTCACAGATGTGGAGATTTTAATTTTAATCAATAATTTGGGTAACGATCACAGCCAGAAACCATGACTAGATAGATGTTGCTTATTACATCGTGTTAAATGGGTTGGAGAAGAGTCTGGAGACATGGAGATCCATCAGGAGGCTATTACACTGATTCAGTTGGGGTGTTCTCATTACTCTGGTGCCAGGGAGATGGAGAAAGAAACACTACTTAGGATTTGGCATTTGGAGGACAAATGCTGTAACTGATTGGCTATGGCGGCAAGAAATATCAAGAACTTAAATAGTAACCATTTTCATCTAGTCCTTCTGACTGAAATCCACTGATGATGGGACACTGATGGGGAAGACTATTCTAATAAAGAGGTATAAGACTGTAAAAAGACATGTCCAAGAATGACATGCGGGGCAGCACTTGTCTTCATTCAGCATCAGCTGATATTCCTTGAGCATCTACTAGACTGCATAGAGTGCTAGGCATTTGGTGCTAGGTATATATAATAAAACTTCACCAATTCAAAGGTATACAGAGAAATAATATCCATGATTATCTGAACATCCTGGTTATAAATAACAAAAAGCTCACTTCAAACTAGCTTTTAAAAAGAAACTTTTATTGATGAATTAATTAAAGAGCTTTAGAAACATGGATCTTGGTGATCAAGTGATGTATGAAGAATGTGTGTTTGTTTTTTCTGCCTTTTGTTCTGCCTTCTGTACTGGTTTCATTCTCAGGAGGGTTTTCTGTTTCTGGTTGCAAAATGATCAGTAGCTGCTCCCGGCTGTCATCCTTACTAGTTAAGCGACAGTGTGTGTGGCGGGGGGGGGGGGGGGGGGGGCTGGAGAAGATGCTTCAACTTCTCACAACCTCTCAATAGTTCTAGCAAATATTGCTGATGGAGTTTGGATCATATTTCCCTTCTTGACCTAATTACTATGGCTTGGGATGGGCCCCAATGAACCTTATGGGCTAGAATAAAAGCAAGAGGCTCCAAAAAAAAATGATTGAAGTGTTATTGCTAGAATCATGGGAGAATGAATTGAGTGATCAAAAATTAAAGATGACAACTATACTATCAAAATGATTCAAGCAAGGCCCCCTACTGCTGCAAATAACAGAAATCCATTTCTACACCCACATGGAATTTGTTATAAGAATCTCATACAACCCAAGAGGAGGGAGTGCAATAGGACCTCACCAGGAATTAAATGGGGAAACGAAAATGAATGGGCCTTAGGCACTGGAAGCATATGCTCTTGGTAACATTGCCCCACGTACCACCCTTCCCTGGAGACTCCAGGAACACACTGAGGTCTGCTGGTCTCTCGCTTGCCTCTGACATCTCCAGCTTTAAGTTCATTCAATCTTCATAACTTTCTCCATTGATCCCACACCCCAGCCATTTGTACTTTACAAAATTTCAAGGAACTGGGCAACAAGCAAAGAAACAGACAATTTGAGAACAGGGCATATGTAATCCCTCTTTATCATCTCAAAGAATCTATTCCTTTTGACCTGTGTCATACTTCTAGGAGGCTCTGGGGCCGTACACTTTCTTGGTGACTGTATGAAGAACCAGAGGTTGAGCCCAGAGTAGGAACCATGGAGTCCTCCAGCTCAAAGAGTCTGGCACTGCACGTGGAGAAGCTACCAAGTAAGATGGCAGGTCGGTCTGTGGCTCATCTCTTCACGTACGAGACAAGCAGCGAGGTGCTAGAGGTGCTAGATGAGCTCTACCGTGTGTCCAGAGACACGAAAAGCCGGCCCCAGGCCCAGCGGGTCATCAAGGACCTCATCAAGGTGGCTGTCAAGGTGGCCGTGCTGCACCGCAGTGGCTGCTTTAGCCCCAGTGAGCTGGCCCTGGCTGCCAGCTTTCGCCAAAAACTGCGGCAGGGCGCCATGACGGCGCTCAGCTTTGGCGAGGTGGACTTCACTTTCGAGGCCGCGGTGCTGGCCAGCCTGCTGACCGAGTGCCGGGACATACTGCTGGCGCTGGTGCAGCACCACCTCACACCCAAGTCACACGGCCGCATCCGCCACGTGTTCGACCACTTCTCTGACCCAGGCCTGCTCACGGCCCTCTACGGGCCTGACTTCACTCAGCACCTTGGCAAGATCTGTGATGGGCTCAGGAAGTTGCTGGATGAGGGAAAGCTCTGAACCCAGCACATTCCACCGTGATCGTGACTAAACGGCTGGCTGAGAACGCAACAATGAATGGGCTCTCTAACTCTGCTCATCTGCACTAACGCTTTTCAGTCCTCCGGCTCCAGTCTTCCCCAGGAATGCTTTTGACTCCAATCCCCCTACCCCAAATGGCTGGTGGGGAAGAAGCAATGAGGCCTCTCTCCCACACCAGCCCCTGGGCAAGAAACAAAGCTGCATGAAAAGAGGAAGTGAAATTTGTATCTCTTATTTCCTCCATAAGGGATGTTTGAAACAGGGAAGCCCTCTCTCCTAGGAACCCCTCTGGGGACACTAAAGACAGAGGGGGGAAGGGGTCGCTTTGAGACATCCTAGACCTGCAGTTCTGGGCAGAGCCAGGACAGACACCAGAGAAGACTCTGTCCCAGAGTGCAGGTGACTGGTGGGGAAAAAGCAAGGAGGCCTCACTCCCACTCCAGGGCAGGAAACAAAGCTGCCTGAAAAGACTTAGTGAAACTTGCATCTCTTATTTCCTCCATAAGGGATGTTTGAAACAGGGAAGCCCTCTCTCCTAGGAACCCCTCTGGGGACACTAAAGACAGAGGGGGGAAGGGGTCGCTTTGAGACATCCTAGACCTGCAGTTCTGGGCAGAGCCAGGACAGACACCAGAGAAGACTCTGTCCCAGAGTGCAGGAAGAGGGGCTAGGGCAGGGGAGTCTCACAGGGGAAATAAAAGAAAAAAGAAAGAAAATTAATTGGCCTCACAGCTACCTCTCTGTTTCTTTCTCCCTCTCCTCCTCCCCCTTCTCCTCCTTTTGCTCTTCCTTCTTCTCTTCCTCTCTCTCTCTCTCTCTCTCTCTCTCTCTCTCTCTCTCTCTCCCTGTTAGTCTTTGTTTTTCTCGGCACATCTTCTGTATATTGGCTATACCTTGCTCTTCAGTCCAATGACTCCATTTCTCAACACACATGACTATCCCACAATTCTGGAGTTTATATTTCTTCAGTTTCAACCAATCAAAAGAGACCAAGATTAGCTTCTCTTACTCTCAATTCAAAACTTATGAAACAGAATCTTATTAGTAAAACTTGGATCTAGTGACCACCCCAGTCCAACCAAGTGTGACATACAGACTGGGTTAGACCCACGGCTGTATAAGAACCTTGGCCCCTCCGCCTTTAGAGTAGGCTCATGTCTCTGGAAATAGCTCCTATAGAACATAGTGGTGGAAGGAGTGTTGAGGTGAATGAGGGGGAAAGGCTCAGTTTGAAACAGACCTTCCTGTCATTATATCCACATACCAGTTCTGCCTCTTTAATGTCCTTGAATCAGTCTATTTGTCTCTTTCCTCATTGCAGCTAAATTAGTCCAAGCTACCCTATCGAACAGCTTATTCTAATGCTTTCTTGTTGCCCCCAGATTCCCCCACCAGAATCTATTCACTGTGCAGCCAAAGTAACCTCTCCTCCACACCAGTTCTCCACGGTGCAGCCAGAGAGATATTTCCAAAGCACACATAACCTCAGCACATTGTTGACTGGAAGTTTTAAGAGTTTCTCATTTGTCCCAGAATTAATTCCAAACTTGTAAGCACCACATATATTTCCCTTAATAATTGCAGCCCTTTATCCCTCTATTTTATTCTTTGTTCAGTTCCATAAATGTACCCTCCATAGCAGAGCACATAGGGATGAGATTAGACTTCAGTGAAAAAAGACACAAGCCTCAATGCATTAGTTTTTATTGCTGTGTAAGAAATTATCACAAATTCAGGAGCTTCAAGCAACACCCATTTGGTTTCTCACATTTCTGCAGGTTGAAAGTCTAGGATAAAGTGGCTAGAATTTTTGCTCAGGGTCTTACACGGCAGAAATCAAGAATCGGTTGACAACATTCTCATCTTGTGTTCAAGGTCCTTTCCCACGTTTGTTTCTGTTATTGACAGAATTCAGTTTCTTGTTATTGTGGGACTGAGGTCCTGTTTCTTTGCTGGCTCTCAGCTGGGGCCTCTTTCAGCACCTTAAGACCACCTGCATTCCTTCTCACATGACCCCCTCCATCTTCAAACCTACTATAGCCTGTTGAATCCTTTTCATACTTCACATCTCTCTGACTTCTTCTGCCACCAGTTAGAAAAAGTTCTTTCCCTAGCCGGTTTGGCTCAGTGGATGAAGCGTCGGCCTGTGGACTGAAGGGTCCCTGGTTCAATTCTGGTCAAAGGCACATGCCTGGATTGAGGGCTCGATCCCCAGTAGGGGGCATGCAGGAGGCAGCTAATTAATGATTCTCTCTCATCATTGATGTTTCTCTCTCTCCCTCTCCCTTCCTCTCTGAGATCAATAAGAATATATTTTTAAGCATTTTTTAAAGTTCTTTGCTTTAACTAGTGTTATTAGATAAGGCCCACCTAGATAATCTCCCTGTCTTATAATTTGCTGTGTCATATGGCAACATAATCATGGGATCTCTATATTCTCAGGGGATTAAGGCAGGGCATCATTGGAGGGGAAACACTTTAGAAATTTTGCCTGGTATATTCAGTGTCTTGGAGTGGGTGGCCAAGAGATGACTTTTGTAAATGAAATTTAACAGGCACACAAAAGCGTATTAGAGATTGTAAATTTCTGGCCATCTACTTTTGGGTAAAGACATGATAGTCTTTTATTAGGTTGAGATGCAAGTCATTTTTCTTATGTTTCATAGCAGAATGTCAGTTCCCAACTGACTGGCCTCTAACTGGTTTAATAAATCTCTTCCTAATCAACATCCTTGAAGGTATACATTTCAGGAAGTCTCCAGAGAGCTCACTGTTAATATGACTGTTACTTCCTAATTAGAAAAAAAAAGGATGTGCATGATGAGTAATAAGCAAAAGAGACACGTAAAATATATGCTCTGACTAATAACATTTCCCAAACTCATTTTTCCTAGGCCACATTCCCAGGTGAAGCATCTCTTCATCTATCAAGGAGGGATGGCCAAGAAGACTTGATCAGGAACACGAGTTGATCAGTGAAAGATCTTAGTGGTATCCATGAACCTGTGGGAAAGAAATAGTGTTCTGAAAACTGTTGATAATTTGCAACCCAGTCAAGTGTTTACTAGTGTGACAGAAAGGGCCAGGGTAGAAGAGAAGAGAGGCTAATAAACTTCTTGAGAGGAGTGTCAGCAATGTCCAGGAGGCCTGGGAAATATTCTTCATAGAAGTTTGTGCCAGAAAATTCTTCTGTTCTGAAAAATAGGTTTGTTTTTTATTATCAAATATGGAGAGCTATGTAATCATTCACGTTTCTGTTTTTCCTTGGCTGCCAAAACCTCAGAACTAATAGCTGTGTATCTCCTCCTTGTTCCTGGGAGATTTTCCTCCATTTTTTTGTAACTGGTTGTTTGTATCTTTTATTCTTTATTTTGGCTATTTGTACATATGGCATACAAGTTTTCATATACATTACTTAAAAGTTTTTGTAGAAGTAAGGAAGTGTGTTTTGTAAATATAGAAAATATAACATGGAGTATGTAGCAAAAATGTGCAAAATGAGGAATTTAATATCTTAACGGCAAATGACAAATAGGTAGATGTAAAAATATATAGAGTTATAAAAAGGTAGTGAAAACATCTGGAAAAGCCCATGAATGGAATAGCGTTGGGAGAAAAGAAACCTAGTTTAAGAGAAGAAGGAAACACTACTTAATATAGTAACAAAAATAACACCTTTTAACTTGGGAGGCAATGTTCACCTTTTTTCTTAAAAATTTTTTTACAATATGTTTTTTCAATTACAGTTTATATTTACTGCTATTTTGTATTAGTTTCAAGTGTACAACATAGTGGTGAGACAATCATATACTTACAAAGTATTTCCCCTGATATTTCCAGTACCCAAATGACCCATACACATAGTTAGTACAATAGTGTTGACTACATTTCATACACTGCATTTTACATCCCGTGACTATTTTGTAACCACCAGAGACTATGTTCACTTTAATATTACTGTAAACTCATAGGCCTTCACTGTTTTTTGGTGGGCAGCACAAGTACTCATTGACCTCTTTGAGAATATTGACAGCAATTATGGGCTCTATTCTTACAAATGTCCTATATAATAAAAGGGTAATATGCAAATTGACCAAACAGCGGAACAACTGGTCGCTATGATGCGCACTGACCACCAGGGGGCAGATGCTCAATGCAGGAGCTGCCCCCTGGTGGTCAGTGCGCTCCCACCAAGGGAGTGCCGCTCAGCCAGAAGCCAGCTCACAGCTGGCAAGCGCAGAGGCAGTGGCAGGAGCCTCTCTGACCTCCGCAGCAGCACTAAGGATGTCTGAATGATGGCTTAGGTGGGGAGAAAGCCTAAGCAGTCAGTCGGACATCTTCTGAGGGATCCCTGATTGCGAGAGGGCACAGGCTGGGCTGAGAGCCCCTCCCCCCTCCAGTGCATGCATTTCATGTGCTGGGCCTCTAGTTTAAATATAAACATACACACAAAATAGCTTCAAAGGATTCTCAAATCTCCTACTGTTAATATGGAACCCTAATTTATTCAGAACCAACCCCTTGTATATTAATACATTCCGGTTAATAAAAATAAAGTTTAACAACTGGTAAAATAAAAATAAAATGTATTGCTTTACAATATAGTACTCAGAGGAAATTTTCTTTGGAAATGTCATCGCTATGCCATTTCTATCTTAGTTATCTTAACTGCCATGTTAGTAGATAACACAAATACAAATGCAAGGATTGGTAAATATTACCAACTTTCTTAAGCACAAATAGAGTTAATGTGAACTATGGAGTCAGAGGATATAGAAGATTAAAACAAGCTCAGCTTTTACAAAATAAGTTTCCTTGGTATAAGTAGCTGAATTCTTGAAGTGAAGCCAGTCACTTTGAGATATGAGTTTTATTTATGGTGCAACATCTTCACAGTGAAGTATATTACTCATGTGTATGCTCAGAGACACATGACTATGAAAGAAAAAAAGGAATAGAACTCAAAAGGCCTATTTTGTTGGTCTATACATTTGGTAAATGTATTGGGTGAAGTTGTTAGTTGAGGTCATTTTGCCTTGTGGATAGTTTAATGTGAGGTCAATGTGTCCCCCTTTCCTGGTAATTAAGAATTAAGTTTTCTAAGACTTATCTGTCCTTCTGATGAACTAGGGTAATAAAATTCTGTTTTTAAGTCATAGAGAAATGTATGGGTCACTTACTAGACACAATATGGCCCTGAGAGAAAGTCAAAGAAGACT